ATATATATATATATATATATATATATATATATATATATATATATACACACACACACCATTTTACAGTCAAAACGATGAGCCGAATAATTACACAAGACATTGATACCAGACTTGAGTACTACATCCAAGAATATTCACTATAAAATCAAGCAAGTAGAGAAGCTGGAAACAGAATGTGTAACATACGTATAATGTACGTCCGGTCAACCAGCGTACAAGTCTATATTCTACCAAGTTAGTTTTCGACAGGAGGTGCAGGGATTAAAGCGGAGTCAGACGTGTATCGCTGGTGGAATTTCGGGGTGATCTCTGTCCTCCTCGGTCAAGAAGACGAGGGGGCACCCGGGGGGGGGGGGGGGGGGGGTGAGGTTCAGGGTGAAGGGAGGATAGCTCCAGGCAGCCAACCAAGTGTGGGGTATAATCTGACAGCACTCAGCCAAGACACATGCAAGGCTAAGACCAGGCACCCTACCAAGACCGGGGCCTGTGGGGACATCCTGGTGAGAGCTAAGCCTCCAACGGGCCTGGAGCGGTGCCAGGAGCCACACACACACACACACACACACACTTGAATGCATAGTCAAGTCACACATGCGTGGTAAAGCCTGTGCAGTCTCTCATACGCACCCACACGAATACAGACACACCGTGCATGCAAACGGCGGTAACAAGGCAGAGAAAGCACGAGGAGGTACAAGGCTGCAGTCTGAATGGAAAGCTCCAAGCAGAGCCCGATTTATTGTGTGTCGGTGCGTCAACGTCTCATTCAGTCAGACCTCCCAACTTCAACTGGATCTCCTGTGTATGAAGTGAACCTGATTGAGTTAAAGCAACATTTGGGGGGGGGGGGGGTGTCTGTGTACATATAAAAATGTCACAGAGCGGTCCAACTGGAAGTCACCCTGAGCGTTTAGATGACCTCGAAATGCTGACCGACGTTTCTCTTTGCTCTTTTCTTTTCTCCCCACTCCCTCTTTCTCCTCCTCCTTCATGCTGTTCTTCTGCAGATTACGTTTATTTTGAGAACTCGTCCAGTAACCCACTGCTGATCAGGAGGATAGAGGAGTTGAACAAGGTGAGTTACTTGAACGCAGCACAGATCTGACGGCCGTACATCACGTCTCTGTCTTAAACCGTACCACTGATTTGTTAGTGTTAGTAGTGACCTTATATATCTTTTAAATGATCTTAACTGCATCCCTAAAGCATAACAAAATGACATTTGGCTTGTAGTGTTAAATAAATATTCTCTTTTCTCTAGAATGTCCTCTTGAGTTATCATAAAGTTTTGGTCTTTTTGTGATAATTGGAGGCTTCTTTAGGATATACATCCCGGCCTGTTAAATATAAAGGTTGCTTTTTATCAGGGCGTAAGAAAAATATGAATACTGTGTAAAACATTTGTTTTATTTACGTTATGAGGCTCAGGATCAGTGCAGTTAATGAAACCGTATTGTTGAATATAATTCAGGGTGTGAATGATCAAAAGGTTTAAGATGTAGTCCAGTGTAGACCTGAAATAATTAGCTGATTAATTAATTTGATAATCAATCCGTAAAGTGATTTTTCAAGGAAAAATATCAAAGGATACTGTGTTTCAGCAACTGAAATGTGAGAATTTAATAGAATTTCTTTGTCGTATACGACAGTAAAGGTCGTCTTTGACCAGCCAGTTGATGTACTAAGAACATAATAAATAAAAATAATGGACAATAGAGTTGCAACATGTGTATGTTTTGCACTGAAACACTATTGATATACGTCACCTCGGTAGTGTGATGATGACGTTGCCCTGGGTGCAGTCTGCTAGGTACCAGCCTGCCATGTTGTTCATTGTTCAGTCAAAGGAGCAGAAAAAGAGGCCCGTCTCTGAGAACTAGTTCCAGGTGCCCGCTGTCTCCGCCCCCGTGCCAGATAATACGGAGGCTGTTTAGTGTGATTGACGCAGAGCTCGGAGTGAGCACTCTATTCTGCCCGTCACTGTCAGTCGCTCTGCTCCTCTGGGATCTCTTGAGTTTCTCTTCCCTAAGGTCTCGAGATGCACGTTTACAAAGTGTAGAACAGTTTAGAGGAAAGTCCCGATGACTGCCAGCTGCTCAAAACTACGGGAAAGCAATGAACTGAAAGACAGTAGTCTGATGTGTACGTTGCTGATGTACACTTAAATGTCTTTAACTTTAATATTTCTTAAGAATTATAAAATAAGCACACGTTATTACACAGCATCTTTTCCCAACGGGGTCGATTTTTCTGAGCTTTCAAATGGATCTGCGTTTTGTTTTGTCTTTCCTCCCGTTGCCGGTCGTCGATGTAAATGACAATCGGTTCTCACTTGACTTGCCTGATTAAATGAAGGTAAACAATAGTAAATAAAGGCATCAACCAATCACGTCGTGTGAAACGTTATGTGTGAAACACGGCTCCGTAGTCCGAAACAAGATGGCAAACTGTATTAGTCCTTCCAGCCTTGATAAAGGCAGCGCACACCAGATTCACTCCTTCCCTTCCTCCTTTCACAATAAAAGCCCAAGACGTATCGTATGCGCATGTGGATATTTAGCATTCTTCGTGTTGTGTACTCGTTATGCCCCCAGTTCCTCTCTCATCATCTTCTCTCATGTTCTGCTTTAATTGGGCAGACGGGTTACAGTTTTAACTTGCACATATACATATTTATAATGGCAATGCTAAATGAGAATCATACTCTTAATTGTGCTTTACTTTGTGATTTTACTGAACTGTCAAAGAATCACCAAAAAGACATTGACTTACTGAATCTAATCAGCCGATGTAGTGATTTAAAGCGATTTACATTTTTATAAAGCTTAGCTTTCTGCAGCTTATTATACATTTCATGATCATAATTCTTTTTCTTTTTACACCTTTTACTCCCGTCATAGTGCCGACTATAATATACATCTGTTCACCTTCGTCAGTTCTTTATTTGTCATCCTCCATTATGTTCTGCTTCATTCTGGCCTGTAGTCTAAGTCAGGTTTGCAGTAACTTTCCTGCACAAAGAGAATATTTCTTCATTTGACTTTAGTAAAAATGTCAATCCGACACTCGACAAAAGAGCAAAATCGAAACAAAAAAATCAATTAAAAACCTTCATTTATTTAGAAATTAAGTTTGCGGTCAGAAAAAAAAGAAATCCTAACTGAGGATATTATGTTTTGCTCGTTCCTTGCACCATTTGTCAAGCATAGAAATGTGGAAATTGGATTTTTAATTATTCGCTGATTTGGAGAAGTAGAAAGTCTGCAGTGCTACAGAGATCCGACATGTTGGCTGTGTTTCTCCTTCATCCATCCTCCGCGAGTCACGAGAGACCCTAATCCAATATGCTCGACCTATAACAAGATCCAAATATGATAACACTTTACGGAACCACAGTTAATCAATATTGCCGTTCCTACTCTATTATTCAGTCTCTTATGCGCATGGAGTAAAAAAAAAACAGAATAAGCTACAAATCATCTTCTTAATGAGCCTTATTGCTTTTATTCAAAAAAAAAAAAAGAAGCAATTATTTTACCCCATTTTCATTTGATTAAATATAGTCGAGCAGCTCCTAATGAAACACGTCATGTCAACATGTGAATGTAGCGTTATTAGGAATAAATGACACCGTCCTGATAACTGCAACACTCTCTGTGATTTTGGAGAATTGCTGTTGTCTCACACTGTTTGCAGCCATAGTTAAGAACTAGCCTCATCTATGGGGTTTTTCATCTGTGTGTGTGTGTGTGTGTGTGTGTGCGTGTGTGTGTGCGTGTGTGTGTGCGTGTGCGTGTGCGCACCACTTGTTGCCGTGGTAACGTCGATTGTCTCTGGTTCGCAGACAGCCAATGGGAACGTGGAGGCCAAAGTGGTGTGTTTTTACCGGCGCAGGGACATCTCCGGCACACTCATCGCCCTGGCAGACAAACACGCAAGTGAGTGACCGACCGTAACCCAGCCAGCCCAGAAGAACACGCAGAACTGGGGGGTGGGTGGGTGGGGGTGGGATTTAAAAAAAGATAACCCGGCTCTTTTCAGGCGGCCCTCCTTCAGTTATTTTCCACACTGCAAAGTTATGGTACCTGCAGCAACTGGAAAACACAACTCTTATTTGGGATTTGGTGGGACTGTACGGCCTGTTTGCACATCGGGGGGGGGGGGGGGCACAACATTGGGTTTTTCTGTGCACAGTTACTGAGCTGAAAGAATCAGTCCAGACTGCAGCAGCCCCTCCTCTGACAGGCCTGATTGCAGACGGCGTTCGATCTGTTGGGAGTATCAATATGACGAGGTGTGTGTGTGTGTGTGTGTGTGTGTGTGTGTGTGTGTGTGTGTGTGTGTGTGTGTGTGTGTGTGTGTGCGCGCGCGCTCTGAAGCGTGGGTGTGTAGCGCGTGCTTGAATGTGGTGCCGTTCTCCAGAGCTCGGAGCAGATACTGCAGTATCTGGAGCAGCAGGCACACTTGGACCTCAAGCAGCCTTTTAATGTTACGAGCACCAGGATGTTTTTCAGAGCGAGACGTGATTGATTTAAGAAATAAACAAGAGAGGGAGGGGGGGTAATACACAGAAGTCCAGAAGGACGGAGATGCTGAGTTTAAGATGGTTAGTGGTAAAAGAGAGCGTGGTAGAAGACACGGGTGACAAAAGTGAATCTCTTAAAGGCCAGAGCCATTCTTAAATGTCCAGGTCGCCTCCCCGGTGGTCCGTGGGAAATGATGCCTTCAAGGCACTGCTCACCTCAGTGTGTGTATATAATTTACTGTGTCTACTTTCTCTAATCCTACCATCTGTAGTGGTGTAACAGACCGTAATTGATCGGTACGGATCCTCCTGTGAACCACAGATTAATTACACAATAATAATAATAATAATGACCATTTAGTGTGAAATAAAGTATCCCTGCCCATCGTTATCGGCCGATATTCAGTGAAAATATGCGACGAAGAGATCGTCATCGATGCCTGACGATGCTACACAGTGGACAACAAATGTGTTGAAATCATCAGGAGGAGCGATGGTTGGCATCGTTGGCAGCATGGGAGCTAACTGCTAACATTAGCATTATGTGTCTCACACCCCCCCCTTTGAATAATCGCTGCCACGCCGCCATTGTGCAGCCTTGCATGTTGTAACCACTCACGTGACTACGTCCGCCATCTTGCTCTCTCTCTGTCTCTCCCCTCCCCCCCCCCACACACACACACACCCCTCCATGTGCTTGTTTGTTGCTTGTAGGCTGGTTTTCATGGTCAGTGCTCGGATCCAACCCTTCACTGTTCACTCTATAAATGTGGAATAGTACTTAAACGATTGACATTTTGACTGTCAATCATTTTGTTAATATCAATAATTACTTTTATACGCGCTAATAACCAAAGCCGCTCGCCAGATTCTACATTTCACATTTATGGTGGTTTACGCTGACCTCAGAGCAGTTGAAATGAGTTTTCTGGACAGCTTTACAAGTGATTGACAAAACGAAAACAACACAGAAATTTGTATCGGCTGTAAAAAAAAAAAAAAACGATCGGTGCATCTCCAAAAGTTATATTTGCTCATCTGTTTCTGCTGATCCGCATCGTGACTCAGAAACGTTGATATGATCTGTTTGATGTGATCTGTCCTTTGGAAGAAGACCTGACTGAGGGCAGCATCTCTGGTTATACGTCGTCAATATAATCCCACCGACCTCCCACATCCTGTATCCGTTAAGTTAGTCATCCTCTCGAGCCACATTTAGACAAAAACAAAATGAGATGATCTTGTAAATGCAAAGATAACAGTTCTTGAGTCTTTCATGACGCTCTGTTGTTAGACGGTGGCTGACGTCTCCTTTTTAAAATTGTCTTTTGCAGACTTGCTAACACCAAAATCGCGCGTAAAGGCCAAGGTTGTGATTGACATTAAGCATTTCATAGTAAGTGTCGTCTGACCACGTTTTTATAATGGAAAAAGTGTTATTAGGTGGCGGAGCGAGACGGGTGTCCTCGTGGTGAAGGACGAGACGCGATGAGTCGTGCAAATGAGGATAACGGCGCTCATTTTGGGACAGTGTCTGGTCTGTATGGTGTTCACACAAAAAGAGACCGTTTAGTTGTGAAGTTTAAACCCTGCATCACTTTACTGATGCCCTATCTTTAACAGGCCACATGATTCACTTTGAATATACTGCACAATGCAATATGAACATTTTCTATGTCGTTACATGGGGACAGACTGGTTGTGGTCAGAGTAGGTCTGCTGGTGTCCAGTCTGGCCTGAAGTACCCCCCAATCTGACTTACAACTTTCATTAAACACGCCAACAAACTTCAAAGCAAACAAAAATGGATCAGGCTAATGTTGAAAAAGTTTGTTAATTTAAGCAGCGTTTGATTTTACTCACTCCAGCACTCGTCAGTAGTGCTGTCACACTACCAGTGGAGACGCTGCCACCCTGTAGTCCTGACGAGCTTAACCACCCACTAGACTTTGACTGGGTGTGGCAGGCTGAATGTTGGCTCTTAGTGTGTGTGTGTGTGAGTGAGTGAGTGAGTGCTAGAGCTATTTGAATGAGTGCACGTGTGTGTATGAGGCCTGGGGATGGGTGGGTCGATGGCAGGAGGGGGATTGTTTGTTCTGTCGGACCACACTGTGTGTGTGTGTCCCTTTTAAGAAAGTCTGTAATCAAGTTTTTTTTTTTTTTTTTTTTGTTTTCTTTTTGTTTTTTTTCTGGCTCAAAACGAGGGTTAAAAGAGAAGTCGGGCTTCACATGGCGTCATATCGCATTAAGATCTGGTATGCACTTGTCGAAAAGCTCAATATCTGTTGACGTGAGGATGTTTGATTCGTGTCACTGAGCGTCTTCAGGGAGGGTGTTGTAGTAGCCTTCCTTATGAGTGGAGAAATAAACAATATTTACCTGTTTTTAAACAGCCACGGAGGACGAGGGTGCCGCCTGCTGAAGGGAAACGAGACTAGTTTAAGGCCTAGACTGGACCGTCTGTGGTCAAATTATTACAGGTGGTAGGGTCTCAAATGTGACTCTCTGGATATCAAATGTTCATCTGCAAGTAATATTTAAGTGTACTAAATTCATCATCATTATACTGAATATCTAAAACTTTTTGAGTCTACTGGCAAAATATTATTTACACAACAGCAGATATCCTGTTTTTGAAGCATTTTGTAAGACAGCCGGTTCTTTTTATTTGGATCGTTTTACTTCCTAATTTAAATCCCCCCTATTGGATTGTGGCAGTCATGTTCCCAGATGTTTCGTAATGAACTAATATCGTTTTCTACAGTTGTCTGTTTGATCTTTTGTGTTCAATTAAGGGGGGACACTTAACTTTCTATATTTTCTTCCATTTGAGCGGCGTAAACGTTGTAGTCACAGTACAGGACGACGTTGAGGCTCACATGTTCATGAACGATAACTGGTGATAAAAAAAACTATATGAAAACGGCGAAGAACAGGAGACTAATAACGACCTCATCGGCTTGCTATGTTCCATATGATTGGTCGCAGAGTGTTTTTATTTTCTTTAGCAATCTGTTTTTGCTGGGGCAATGACTGACGGTGTAATTTAGTTAGTGAACAAACGGACTTTTTTATTCTTCCTCCTTTGGCGATGTTGGCGTCTCCTTTTCCGTTTCACTTTGCTAATTACAGTCCAGCGCCACCACATCGGCACGGTGCCGCAATTTCAGTTACAAATGACAGAAATCCAAAGAGTGCAACACTTTTTTTTTTTTTTTAGAAAATGGCGTTGAAGACTCGTCAGAGTATCGTTGAGGGTTGGAGGCGGGACGAAATGTGACAGAGGCGTTGGCCTCTTAATTCTCTATGTAAGAAAAACCCTGGTAATTATTTTCTGTGTGTGTGTTCATACATGTGCTGCTTTATCACTTTTTATGCAGGAAGAAAACGGTGTATGTGTGTGTGTGTGTGTGTGTCTTTTGAGTGTTCAGTAAACATGAAAATGTAACTTACAATCAATGTGGCTGAACCCATACCTCTGGTTTCGTTGCACCTTTTGGTTAATCCCATGCAGGTAAAAGAAATCCAGCATCGAATTATAATATTATTGATGAGACGCGGCGGGAGTGCAGTAACGTTTGTGTGAGCAGCTCCTATCGAGCCCTCTTGGTTTTTTTGGGCTGAGCTCTGCCAGCTGCAGTTCGGTAAGGGGCTTTCAGACATTTGCAACATGTAAAAAATGCATGGCAGGAATGGTTGTGCACCGCATGGGTGTGGGCTGTATCCTGTCTGCGTCTCTGTAGCTACAGCCTGTGCGTGTGTGTGTTTGTGTGTGTGTGTGTGTGCATACATGCTTGTGTGTGTTCATGTCTTTCTTAAATGCATGATGGACTTGAGGTCTTAGCTCTGGGCCCTGTCACAGGAATCGCTGAAGGGGTACATTTAATTCAGTTTCCTTATGGATCAGTGTAGGTGTGTGTGTGTGTGTGTGTGTGTGTGTGTGTGTGTGTCTTTATGTGTGTCTGCTGTGAGTCATTGATCAAATCGATTCTGAGCACTGGGGCACACGGGGCCTCCGACTCCGGCCTTAGCCCCTCCCCCTGTGAGCGAAGCAGCCTCCTGACTGGTCGGCCCTCTGTGGCGGACTTGGCTTTTTACCTCCCCGGCCCCTCCCTTCAGACAGTTTGAATTTGCCGTGACTCAAAGCTTTTTTTTTTTTCTTTCTATTTTTGAAATGTGGCTCCTAGCTCCCATAAACAATAGACGACAACGTTGCCAGCGAGCTGACGCACAAAAGTAGAAGCAGTGGAGTCCAGCTGGCCGTGGGATGAGTGTAGTATATCCCAGCTACAGGTTTATTCCTGCTCGCAATCCAAAGTGGGTCACACACCGATGTCACAAGTCACATCCCTTCTTATCGGGATGCTTTTATTACCGTTTCATGAGTGAAATCATTCGTAGTCTCCCTGTCTCTACTCCGGCAGCAGCCTCACAAGCGCTCTATATTTATCATGAGGCGATGAAATGTCATTATGGAAGTACGTCCTACAAAGAGAGGATGAGTTTCTCATTTGTATCCCCGGCCGCGGAGCTTTATGAACCGTCCTGATCAGCCGTAACGATTACAAAGTGAAGGCAACATCCTCATCCACAAATGAGGAAGCGAGTGTGCGTTGGAGGTGTTGCCTACCAGACGACTCGGGACACGTGACCTACTCGAACGGGCTGATAGCCCTTCAGCGGTCGCTCTTTCCGTCCGTTCCTGCGAAGATTATCGAGAACTGTTTTTCTCCATCGATTCTGTTAGTCCAAGGTTACACCCGGAATAAAAGAAAACCCTCAGAGGATCCACGTCGTAGCACTCCGAGATACAGTGCCGTACATGCTGAGACGGACTTGTGAGACATTAGCTCAATCAACAACACGAGCAACCCAAAAGTTCGTTTACTAGTCAAGTGGAGTCCTACTCAGCCTGTGAAAACAGTTTAATGTTTTCTGCTCCTTCAAGTGTGAAACAATAACCGTGATGAAGCCTCATGACAGCAGGAGGTCTGCGTTACTGATGCGATGTATGCAGACTAGAAGACGTACTCGTTTAGGTCGGGATGGTTTCTTAAGATTCTCTCTTAGTTCCTCAGCTTTATGGAAGTGCAATACCGAATCGCCCCTTTAACACAAACACACATCCGTTTACGTCTGTCCTCTTTATGGGGCCCTGTAACAAAAACAACAAAACCCAGATATTTAGCGAGGACATCTCTCCAGAAGTAGTGTCCCTGTTTCCACAGAACAGGTAGAAATTGGTTCTAATAAAAACTTCTGACTGTGGGGTCTGTGGATTGCCCCGAATAACTGACTCTGGAAAGAAACGAGTGCTTTTAGAATCACTCATGAAAATCCTTTCAGCTCTATTATTTCGGGGTGACAGCAGAAATGTGTGACGCCGGTATCTCCGAAGCTGGGGCTATAAAACTGAACCCCTCTGCATGAGTGTGATCATTTGTTTGTTTTTGGGAGAGGTGTCATTTGGCTGAACCAATGGTTTTATCCATTGGGGGGGTAATCTGAGCTTCTCTTTGCTCTGTTGACATGGCCGAACCGGCTGCGCATGCTTTCATACGCCGGTTATAGGCGATGGCGTCATTACAGGAGCTTAGCACGCACCCTCAGGTAAACACTGTCAGCTCTTGTGCACTGGCTCAGCCGTCACCACGTTGAGAGGCAATAGAAGTGCAATCTTCAAGAAACAAATGCTGACCTTTTCTCAATGGAAGCTTTACATTTGGTTGCTGTGTCTTTTTGCTGGTCTAAATGCAAGAGGGGACGCTAGGTTGGTGTTTTTTTTAACATTCAATTCAGGTTGTTTTTAGTCGTGTTTTTTAACGCTTGAAATACAAACGATTACCCAAGTAACCGTATAATGAAAACACAGCTGGGGGGCATTAAAATGGTGGAGAATCCCGAGCAGTGTGGAACACGTTATTTGTAATGAGGTAGAACCGCAGGATCGGATGAGAAAGCCGTGGCCAGATGTGGTTGTTCGTACTGAAGGTGTCGACATAATCGGTGAGATTTTATGTAAAATATCTGAATGTATACGCGAACGTTGTCCTCCCTGAGGACTCAATGTTCCGGCTCATCAAGTGTGCGTCCTTTATACCAGCTTGTTGTACATCTCAGTTTGTGGCCGATTATCTCCCCCCCCCCCCCCCCGCCCTCCCTGCGGACGTCATTGTTCCTCCTCATCCAATGGTATATGTTTGACCGGTCACCCTTTTTTTGCCACCCAGGGGAGCTGGAGGAGGAGATGGAGAATCCAGAGATGGCCGACCTCCCTGAGAAACAGAAACACCAGCTCAGACACAGAGAGCTCTTCTTGTCCCGCCAACTGGAGTCTTTACCCGCCACACACATCAGGTACGCTGCTGTAACAACACCCCGGTGTTACGCCGCCAGAGTATCCGTTTCAATTTGGGTTCAGTTTGTCTTCTCTCCCCCACAGGGCACAGTTTTGATAGTACATACCAATCCCAGGCTGTGAATGAAGCTACTCCTTTGGGGCTACTATTGAGTCCAAAAATCCCAGTTTTTCCAAATCAAAACATCCCATGGAAATGATTGTCAAGAGTTCTTTTCACTTAAATAAAAACCGCTCATTTTGACTGTAAACTTACATTTTATATGGTGATCTAGCAGCCAATGCTACTTTCATCTCTAATCAGAGACGCCGATCACGATCCTTCAAAAGTCTGACCTGCCCATTTATATATATTTTTGTCTTTCTTTCCGTGATTCATCCTTCATCAAAGTATCCTCTCAGACGGTTCGACCAAGATAGCGCTTATGCAACGTGTTTTCCCTGTAGACTTTAAGTCTAGACTTCTGAGAACTACACTTGAAAGCACACGCAAACATTTTTTGGAACTTTACTTTCATAGAAAATTTGAAATCCAATTCGACTGAATGTTAAAAATAAAACGTAGACTATTAAATATCTTTTTTTTTTTATGAACCTTGAGACTGAATGAAACAGTTTGTCTACTTAATAACTACTTCAGAGTCATTTCAGTTTTAATACAAGTTTTGTTTTTACCATCTGTTCTATTTTCATGGTCGTAATAAATAAAACTAATTCCTCCTCTTTGGATTCGGTGCGCGCGGCTGTAAAAACGTCAGTTGATGACGTGATTATTCATCGATTTCTTATCACTCGCATTATCTGCCACTCATGAGGCTGAAAGATGTTCAGGAGCCAGTCAGCTTTCAGTCTCACAAACCCCAGACATGAAATAATAAATGAATAATAATATTATAAGCGTGCGCGTTGAGCACCAAATGTCAGCGGTGAGCTGTTTCTACATATAGAACCGCCGTTGCTCGTCAGTAGGCTCCAGGCAAACCCACCTAATGATTCCAACCTCATTACTTGACATTTCTGAACAGTGGCAGGAAGAGCAAACTGACATCTGCTGGAATAAAAAACAAAAATTCAAAGCTGATTTTCTAACTTTAACACCCGTGTTGCTGCAGCGGCGCAGGTTGCACGAGGTGTTTTGAGTTCATCACCCTCGAATCGCGCTTGCCTCGGGCTAGAAGAGGTGCGACTACTCGGCTGGTAAATAATTTGGATTCAGACATCATCGTTGCAGTTTCTGAGATTCATCCTACATCAAAGTATCCTCTTAGACAGTTAGACCAAGGTAGCGCTTATGCAACGTGTTATCCCCAGAGACTTTCAGTCTGTTATTCTGTGTTTCACATGTTATTCACTCTGTCTTCCCTCCTCCGTGTCTAAACCCTCTCCTTCCTCACCTCTTTCCCTTACATCGTTTCTGGACTCCAGGGGGAAGTGCTGTGTGACTTTGCTGAACGAGACGGAAGCCCTGAAGTCTTACCTGGAGAGAGAGGTGCGTACCACCGGCGCTTCATGCTAAAATAACAGGACGCGGCCTTCTAAACTGTGGTTAGGTGTGTTAGAGAGAGAGACTTATGAGTTAAGAGATTCTTGTTTCCAGATGAATTATTCAACGTGTTGACCCAGAATGTTCTTTTCACATACAGTAATGAGGAGACGAGAGACTAGCAGAGGGGAAGACACGCACACGCACACTCACACGCGCGCGCAAACATGCGCGCGCAGACACGGATACACTCCTCTCTTTCGCCTCTCCGTTTGCCCGTCTCGCTTCCTCTTCCTTTCATACCATCCTCACGCTTTTCTGCCATCTGTATTTCCCAGGATGCCTTTTTCTACTCGCTGGTATACGACCCTCAGCAAAAGACTCTGCTGGCAGATAAGGGGGAGATCCGCGTCGGGAACAAATACCAGGCCGACATCACCGACCTCCTGAAAGAAGGTACATCATACTTAAACTTAAATCTGGGGCATTTTTTTTTCGAGAGAAGCTTATTCACAGCGTAGCACATTAACGGTTTCCTGCAGGGCTCTTTATTATATTTCTTCTTTTTTTTTTTTTTTTTTTTAGCAATTCTCAGGAACATTTTATGAACTTTAAGTGGCCTTTTCTCCGCCAAGTTATTGAAAAGAAAAACGATTAACCTGGGTTTCAATGGCAATCACAGTGTGGCAGCATGATTATACATAATCAAAGCTTTAAGAATAACAAACTATTGTTGTTTTGCTGTGATGATTTTCCTGTAACCTGGAGGGTATGGAAAGGATGGAGAGCTTACTGTTGCTTTTGCTTAACGACTGCTAAGAGCGCCCATTTCCTCCTAATACAGGATAACGTGTACACTTGCATCAGGCAGTAACTTACTACAATGCGAGACACACGTGTGTATGTATGAACGCACAGGAACACCTGGAACTTAACACTCAACAGTTTTTAGGTTCCTGGCCAAACAAAGTTTAGCTAACTAGTGTCATAAATGTTGTTTAATTTAAGCTGATGCATAATGCAAATGTGGGCCTCATTTTAATCTCCACTGATGTCTGTTTATTATACCTTACACACACGTTTTTAATGTCCAACATAACTTTGATTCTAGCAGTCTGAAGGGTATGTTCCAGACCTTGTGTGCAGATATTCAGCACTTTTAAATGACTATTTTCCTGCCATATTTAGGGTTTCAGTGTTTTGCCAGAATTTTATTCTTAGCAGGTGGGAAAACCTCTGAAATTGCAATTGGGCACCATGGGGACACCGAGCGCTCTAATTAAAGCCATGTTAATGACATTCTGTTCCATGTGTTGAAGCTCAGGCAGGTCGGCTGGTTTGTTTGCAGGCTGGCAGCTCGACAGACTCCACCTATTCAACCGTGGAGTCGTTCAAGCTTTGCACGAGCTAGTAATGAGTAATAAGGAACCATAGAGGCCTATAGGAGAAATAACTGTCTGTGTGTCTGTGTGTAGACGAGGGCGATGGCAGAGACTTGGAGAAACTCGAGGAGAAGGTCTTTGACCCCAACAGCTCACTGACCGAGAAACAGATTGACCAGTTCTTAGTAGTTGCTCGGTAAGTCGACACAAAGTGCTTCAGCATACAAATGATCAAAAAAAGAAAACAAATGTACAAACAATAAGCTTTCTTGTAGCGAGTATATATGCCAAGTATGAAGCCTCAACCAAGAGATGGTTAGCTTAGCGTAGCATAACGACTGGATATAAGGGAACCGTGGTATCCTGGCTCTAAGGTAACAACAATCTGCCCCAAAGCGCATTAATTATCATGCATCTTGTGAATTTTAGCTGCTTAATTCAAGGGCAGTGACTTGCTCTCTGGCTAAGAAACAGTCCTGCACAAAACCTCATTTCAAACCTGATCATGTACAGCTGAAAACAACGTGTGCGATAGGTGAGCTTTAGAGGTGCTGGTAGGCAGATTTGTTTCCTTCGGACAGCTCCAGACTTTATGCTAAGCTAGGCTAACCGTCTCATGGCTCCTGCTTCATATCTAAGAGCGATGTCGCCGCATTCAAGCAAATAAGCACGTTCCCCCAACTCCAACCTTTTTCCTCTGAGCGCTAAGTTGACGAAACGAAAGTGGCCAAGAAGTTGTAGTTTGTGTGTTACCTTTATGGTCCTTGTCCCATCCCACCATCGGTGAAGGCCTTTATGGTCCTTGTCCCTTCCCACCATCAGTGGAGGCCTTTATGGTCCTTGTCCCTTCCCACCATCGGTGGAGGCCTTTATGGTCCTTGTCCCTTCCCACCATCGGTGGAGGCCTTTATGGTCCTTGTCCCATCCCACCATCGGTGGAGGCCTTTATGGTCCTTGTCCCTTCCCACCATCGGTGAAGGCCTTTATGGTCCTTGTCCCTTCCCACCGTCGGTGAAGGCCTTTATGGTCCTTGTCCCTTCCCACCGTCGGTGAAGGCCTTTATGGTCCTTGTCCCATCCCACCGTCGGTGGAGGCCTTTATGGTCCTTGTCCCTTCCCACCGTCGGTGGAGGCCTTTATGGTCCTTGTCCCATCCCACCGTCGGTGGAGGCCTTTATGGTCCTTGTCCCATCCCACCGTCGGTGAAGGCCTTTATGGTCCTTGTCCCTTCCCACCGTCGGTGAAGGCCTTTATGGTCCTTGTCCCTTCCCACCATCGGTGAAGGCCTTCATGGTCCTTGTCCCTTCCCACCATCGGTGAAGGCCTTTATGGTCCTTGTCCCTTCCCACCATCGGTGAAGGCCTTTATGGTCCTTGTCCCTTCCCACCATCGGTGGAGGCCTTTATGGTCCTTGTCCCTTCCCACCATCGGTGGAGGCCTTTATGGTCCTTGTCCCTTCCCACCATCGGTGGAGGCCTTTTGTCTGCTTCGTTAGGATTTGCGCCACTCAAAACAAAGCCTCTGCTGCTGCGTTGGCCTTCTTCGTCTGTTTAGTAAAGCGTTGTTTTGATCTCCTTTACTTCCTCTGTTCACAGACCGCTATCAACCCGAAAGTCCCGACAATAGTTGCTGTGGACTTTGGTGAAGTGGCGCTACATCTTTTACCGACAGACGCTCTGCAAACACACTTAAGTGTGACAATAAGATATTTTCTGCCTTTTTATTGGTCTTGTGTGTTTTTTTTCTGAGGTCATTGTCAAATCCGATGTGCGCTTTCTCGCCTGCTAACATCGCCGTCACTGACGTAGCCAAACTTAACAGCGGCGTAACTCGTTTAGCTGACAAATGATCATTTTGTGTCAGAACGGGGATGTCTGTGAATTTGATTGGATAGAAATCAAACCAGATTTATCGACATACGCGTTCTTTTAACCGCTCGGAAACGGGTTAGCGAGCTGCTGGTAGACGTGTTGGTCGGACTATTCCTTTAAAGTATCACAAACTCTTCTGAACATTTGGTCGTCTTCGTTTCTCTTTGTTGGAGCGAGCGGTTTTATCTCCGTGCAAATTGGCTGGAGTTGTATAATTTGATAATTTGCTGCGACACTACAACACTGAATATTTTATCAGGAAGCACTGGATTTATTTTTTTGTGCATAAGTGGTTCAGAAAAAGACCTTCGGAGGGAACTATCTCAATCACTGAATGTAGACGGTGAAAGTCAAACTGAAAGCTTATTTTCCGATAGAAATAATATCTATATGTCTCTCTCTTTGCGTCATGTCTGTGTCCTGCAGGTCAGTAGGTACATTCGCCAGAGCCTTGGACTGCAGTAGTTCTGTCCGGCAGCCCAGTCTGCACATGAGTGCTGCTGCAGCCTCCAGAGACATCACCTTGGTGAGATACTCGCACATCCACACGCATGAAAAGTGGCCTCGGGGTTAAATCAGCATCTCACCGCCGTAGGTGAAGAGTGTAGCAGTTGTGCTTGTCGCGCACATGTGTGTTAACGTGCGTTTGTGGTTCTGTTTGTGATTGTTGAGTCTGTGGTTATCCTTAACAAGCACGGGGCCCCCAGAAGCCTAGTGGGTCTATTCTGCCCTAGATCTTATCCTCATATATAAAACATAGATGAGAGGCCTTCTAGCTAGCCACACACACACACCCGTACGCCTTGAACAAGGGGCTGCATATAAGCTCCACGGACTGAACAAATGATACAAGTTATTCTCCTCCCAACAAGTCAGCAGAATATAAATTGCACAATCGTTTCAAATGACGTGTTTTCTATCGCACGTTTAGTTTCACGCCATGGACACCCTCCATGCCACGGGCTACGACATGACCCGAGCCATCGCAGCGCTGGTACCCCAGGGTGGGCCCGTCCTCTGCAGGGATGAAATGGAGGAGTGGAGCGCCTCGGAGGCCAACCTGTTTGAGGAGGCGCTCGAGAAATACGGGAAAGACTTCACCGACATCCAACAGGACTTTGTGAGTAGCAGAAGCAGTAAATAAAAGGAACTGGAAGTGTAGCGCCTATGGTCTAATTTAAAGGTGTGTGGAATAGGTGTTCAATGCACCCGTAACCACAGAATTAGAGTTAACCTTATGTCGCAGTCATTTGGGCTTATTTAAGTTATTTAGCTGACTTTAGATGGAGAAACTTTCAAGCACAATAGTGGTCTTGCCAGCTCACATTGCAGCCAGCCTCTTTACTAAAGAGTGAACATGTTGAAGCGGAGCACAATGAGCATTGATACAGAGAAACGTGAGAGAGAGGATGTTACTGCTGCACACTGTGCTGAGCGCTCGCCGTGTGCATCACTCCACCACCTGGTGGCGGTCTGCCGTCAGTGCCGCTCACTCAGGTTTCCACCCAGGCCTCCTCTCAAACAACAGGACTACGCCACCATTATGGGTGGGGCCTCGACTTGACGGCTCAGTTTTCACTCTCAAACTTCTTCAGAGGCAACTCGACGGCGCTACTTCAACCTCGGCAGCTTTTGTGGCCTGTTTAGTTGTTTTAGGTCATTTAGATAAAGAATCTCCTCATATAAAACGTTGGTATATTCAGGCGGGAGTGCTAAATCCACTGTTTAAAAGCATCTCGACAGTCAGAAGATAGCCCATATTTCTTTATTGGTCTGCTCTCACCATTTTACGAGCGTCTCCACTGAAATAACGAGTATTTTGTGGCCTCTCTCCTCCAGCTGCCGTGGAAGTCCCTGACGAGTATTATTGAGTATTACTACATGTGGAAGACCACAGACAGATATGTACAGCAGGTAAAACACATTCATTCACATCAATGTTTCAAGAGAACTCTTCATTGGCATCTAGTCATTTAAACCAGGCTGTATTCCTCTCTATGGCTCTAACTGTTACGACCTTTTAGTTTGCATCCGATCTACATCCCTAGTAAAAGGAAAAGGAATATTGTTTATATCCTCTTTTACATTTGATTTTAGTGTCCTCCCTCTTTTCTGGTGAACAATTCCCTTTTCTTTTCTTTTTATACTCCTTTTTTCTCACAGTTCGGCTGTATTCTGTCGTCAGGGAAGCTCCAAATTAAAACGTACAACAAAAATGTTCTTATTAGAAATGAGTCGGTTTTATTCAAAAATATTCCACACTCTGTCTTAGAATCAATGCAATCCGTGGGGGGTGTTTTTGGAGCACGCCTCTCTGATCCCACTGTTCTTCCTCTCTTCATCCTCCTCACCCTCTGTCTCTGCTCCAGAAACGATTAAAAGCAGCCGAGGCAGAAAGCAAGTTGAAGCAGGTCTACATCCCGAACTAGTGAGTACCTCCAAGTTTCTGTGTGACTCAAATAATTACATTCATCACGAGTGCATGTGTGCGACTCTTGTCATCTGAACACATGGAGAGATCGGTTGTTTTGACCCTCTACAGCAACATCTGTTGTGTTTTAACAGTTGGACATCTGCCACTGTTCTTTCAGTTGGTCAGTATTCACGCCAGCTCTCCGTACAGCATCAGTAGAACTGCTGCTGGTGAATGTTGTATATTCTCTTTGACCGGTGTTGTCTCTGATGGTCTGACCCCTCTCCCTGTTTCTGTGGCGCCTCTCCAGTAACAAGCCGAACCCCAACCAGCTGAGTAACAATGTAAAACCAGCTCTGGTGAATGGAGCGGCAGTTGCAGGGGTCCCGGGGATCGCAGGGGTCCTAGGGGTCCTAGGGATCCCAGGACCTCCAGGCGTCCCAGGCGTCCCAGGCGTTCCAGGAGTCCCAGGCATTCCAGGAGCCCCAGGCGTCCCGGGTGTCCCAGGTGTCCCAGGTGCCCCGGGCTCGGCGCAGGTCCCTGCCCTCGGAAGAGCCTGCGAAAGCTGCTACAGTAAGTCGCTCAGCACTGCTGTCGCAATGTAACCGCAACAGCCCGCTGTTTCTTTTGCTTATTGGAATTCTAAATAAAATGATTTGTTTGATTCCAGTACGTGTTGCTAAATTGGGCACGATGAACTGACGGTGACTGCTTGACGGTGTGTGTGTGTGGTTGTGTGTTTTGTGTGCGTAGCCAGCAGCTCCTACCAGTGGTACTCATGGGGACCTCCAAACATGCAATGTCGCCTGTGCGCTTCATGCTGGACCTACTGGAAGAAGTACGGAGGGCTGAAGATGCCCACAAGATTGGATGGAGAGCGGCCTGGACCCAACCGCAGCAGCATGGTACAAACTAACACACACACACACACACACACACACACATTTTTTATCCGACACCCCAAAACTCAAAGACGTTCAGTTTACTATCATACATGACAAAGAAAGGCGTCAAATCCTCACATTAAAGAAGCTGGAATCACCAACGTCATTACCAGATTAAGTCGTTTTTTGGGTCCAGAAATACAGTATCAACGTTGGATCATTAACCCTCGACTGCAACACTTTCAACATTATTTTAATGCTTTACCTTAAATTAGTTTCCAGCATTAACGGTTAATACGAGATCACAGATCACAGTCCTCACAAGTAACCCCGATGACATGTTATGGTGTAAATACTGTCGGTGTGCGTACCCATTTGTGTGTACTGTTTCAATAAGCCAGAGGAAGTACCACATACACTCTGAACGGGTATACGTATCGCTGTAAATGATGAGCTACTACATGACGTTGCACTAGCTGGTCTGTTGCCAGTGCGCTGAATGGATGCTGCTTTTTTTTTTTTTCTTTTTTTTTTTTGGGGGGAAGCATTCCAGTCAGCTCCAACCAGCGCCAACGAATCCAGAGCCCACAGACGCACGTTGCTCTACGTTACAGCTTACCGTGGATCTGTTTGTACCCACAGAGCCCCCACGGCCTGCCCCTGCGGCACAGCGGCAGCCCCAAATTCGCAGTGAAGACGAAACAGGCTTTCTTCCTGCAGAGCACTGGCCTGACGCAGATGGCACGTCGCCTGTGCCACGAGATCATCAGGCCGCGGTATCTAGCCAGGCACCCCTACCTCCCCGTCAACATGGCCGCCATTAAGGCAGAGTGTAAGGGCCCTTTGTCTTCGTCCTCTCAGGTGGACTGCGTAATCCATTTCGGGTTTTTATTCACCATATTTGTCTTTGCGATGGATTTCTGCAGGTGCCCTGCGGTTGCCAGATGTGGCAAAAAAGCAGTCGCCACTGAAAGCTGTGGAACGTAAACCTCTGGAGTCTGTGGTTCGGTATTTAGGTAAGAAGAAGCCGGTCACAACATTTCATACGCACAGTAATGGTCCACAGAGGATGGAGCCGACTGACTTTGGTGATCCTCTGACTTTTCCTTTTGCGGTTAGATGGCTCAACAGCTATTGGATTGACAGCTTTGTGTATTTGGTACATGCATTGTTCTCCTCAGGCTGAATTGTAATAACTTTGGTGGTTCCTTAACGGGTTCCTCTAGCGCCATCATCGGGTCAAAATGCTGATTAGACCAATTCTTTGGTTTATGACCAAATACCTGCAAAACTAACGACATTCCCATCAGCCTCAGTTGTACTTTGTGTACAACATCTGCATAATGCTATTGTTATTTTGACCATGTTAGCATTTAGCTCAGCCTCAGCTGCTAGCATGGCAGTAGACTCTTAGTGTTGTTAAACGGTGGTTGCTTGGTATTGTTAAAGGGACAGTTCACCCAAAATTCAACAATACATATTTTGGCTTGTGGCCCTTTTGAGCTCCGCGAGCCGACTGCCATGTAGTCCAGTTATATTCGAGAGAAGGTAAACATCTCTAGGGTGGATAAAACGACTGTCCTCTTTTTTTTATTTATTCATCACTTTCTCCCTTCACCTCTCTTCCCGGTCCCTCTTCTCTCACTCTCTCTCCCCTGCAGAAGCACACCCCCGTCCAGCCAAACCCAACCCTCCGCCTCGTGGGGCGTCCATCTCCACAGGCAGCCTGACGCCCATTAAGTCCTCCCCCATCCTCAACAACGGCTCCCCCACCATCCTGGGCAAACGCAGCTACGAACAGCACAACGGGCTGGATGGTGAGTGAGAGCAGAGACTACAGTGTGTTGTTGTTGTTGTTGTTGTTGTTTTCTAGTTATTATCCAATATTCGCAAACTTTAAAACGTCTCATTAGATTTAAATCTCTGCTGTAGTTGAACATGAGCTTGATAAATGATGTAAAAAATGATATTCTATGAAGGAAATTATTTGAAACTGAAGTTTTTCAATGTTGATTTATGTGCTTTTATTCGACTCTTTAGGCAGTCGGTCATATGTATGAAATTATTGGAGTGAATAATGCTGTTAAAATAATTAAAATTAGACTGAAATGACAAAAAAGCCATTAAAAAAGAACACTAAAATGTGTTTAACGGTATTAAGACAAACTAAAATGCGTCACATTACACATAAATGTTAAAGCTTCTAAATGGATTATTAAACATTTGAAGAGAACGTAAGCTGAGCTCAACCGGCTCACTCGATGGCTACAACACACCGCTCAGATCCTCCGCCGGAGGGTGAACAGAGTTTGAGTGGGGTTCTTATTTTTTTGGGTTATGTCCCACTTTTCCCTCTCCCCTGTGGAATGAGAGAGGGGAAGAGACAGACTGAGAGATCAAGAGAGGGAGAGCATGCCAGCGACACAGACAGACAGACAGACAGACACAGAGAGAGAGAGAGAGAGAGAGAGAGAGAGGGAGATTTTGGGAGGATCGGATCGGCCTTGCTGTTTCAGCTGGAGGCTACAGTCTTATGTTGTCATGGTAACAGGAGGAAGAGGAGGTGGGGGGCTTGGTAAGTGTACCCTGAGGGAGAGCATCTCCACTGGTCTGTGAGCGCACCTCAGGCCCAGGCTGGGATAGCTCACCAGGGGGAGATTAAGGTTGGAAGGCAGCCAGGATCAAGTATTGGGGATTAGATTTTACTTTATTTATTTGAACCCACCAATGTATCGTTCTACATGTGGAGGAGAAGCCTCTTTATGTCCTTAATTAGTATTTAACATGTTTTGCGTTATTTAGTTTGTTGCAGTAGTTTATTCCAGATGTCGTTGTTTCCATACGAAGCTAATTTATCTCCTTTTTTTACCTGGAAAATAAAGGTAGGTCAACATCTTTGGGAAACTAGCGTGGTGCCTGTTTAGGTTGTACCCGTTTGGGGTTAGGGTTTATTGAAGAAGAGTTCGGTTGTAACTTTAGTTTATCCAGCTTCCCGTGTCAAAAAGTGTGCTGCAGTCAACGAGCCGCGGCGTGTAAAGATGCAGAGCACTGAAGCCCCGCCCACACTGCTGCACAGAGCGCTTGTTTATTCATACTGAACGGGTCGGCGTCCAAATTGCACCGACTTCGATGCTGCACGTCCTGGGGTCCCCGACAAAACACCCGATAAGTGTAGCAGGATGAGAGCTCGAGATGATAAGCAAAGGGCAGGCAGGCAGACAGAGATTCCTTCCTTTAAGGTGTGACAGACTTTCTTGCTGAGAGGTGGAGACATCGTCTGTGCCCCAGTATGGAGCTAGAAACCAGGAGGTGCTTAGCGTAGCTTAGCATAAAGACTGGAAACGGTAGGAAACGGCTAGCCTCGCTCTGTTCAGAAATCTACCCACTAGTAACTCTTACGTTTACTGATTAGTTTCTTGTTTATTATCTATGAACGAGCTGCTCTCACCTGCTGTGCTTTGTTTCGGAGCTGCGTCTGCGTTTTATTTCATTATGAGCCCCGTTGGGCCTCTCAGGTGCAGCAGAGCACATGGGGTAAAATAATGAGGAATGCTGCTGAATGTTCAATGGTTGTTGGCTGAATGACATTTAAATTGTTTTAAATATAGCGTTTACAGAGTCGGATTGTCAAGAACATGATAATGAATTTATGAAGATAATTTGCTGAATGTATTGTGAGCTGGTAGATGTTAAATACCGGCTGCTGGTTGTTTGAGTATATTTGCTGCTTCCTACTGGTGATGAAGTGTCTCTTCACTCGCTGTTTATTGGATATTTCTCAAAAAGAAAGATGTAATTAGTGGAAATCGATTACCTAGTTCGACTGCTCAAAGAATAAGGCAAAGACACAAATGCATAAATTAGTACTCTATGGCGCCACCAGGGGGCAGAAGAGTTGATCCTGTAGTGAACTCGGTAGGATTTGTGTGTCGTTTCATCTCCGGTTCTCTCTGTCCTCTGCAGGCTCTAAATCCAAAATCCTGGCTCCACAGTGGGACATCATGGCCAAGCGTCTGAGCGAAGCCGGGCGGCCCTCGGTCTCCATGCAGGACGAGGTACATGAACTGGACTGAGCGCTCTGTGGGAACACAAACTACAAACCCCAGTGAGGTGAGTCTCTGTAGTAGTTGTCTTACTTTGGCCCCGTGGTCTCAAGGATAAACTGACTACGTTGGCTCATCATCACGTCCCTCTTGTGTCTTTCTTGGCAGCAGAGGGTGACATGAAATGGAAAGGCACTTTCCAACAAACCATCGGCGAGTGCAGCGGAGGAGACGCCAGCGTTGCTCACCTTTCTGGAGTCGGCGTGGGTCCGTCGCGCTGCTGGAGACCAACCGGCAGTCGATCACTTTGGCTGTGGTCGATGAGAAGACGAGCCTGACTGTACAGGACTGTGTTTATTACTTACATTTCTCGTTATTACTGTCATTGTAATTATTGTTATTGTTATTATAATTTTTTTTACCAACTATAACTCCGCTTATTGTTTGTCGATCAAACGATGGAACTGGTGAAGTTTCATGAGACCTGCTTGCAGAGCCCTGTGGAGGAGGGTGGAAGGACTGTAACATAAGCCACTTGCATCTTCTATTTGTGTTTTTTTTGTTTGTTTTTTAACAAATTAAATTCAACAAGGAGACCGACTTTTATTTCAGCGCCACAAGTTAACTCCTTGTCTTTTTGTTTTTCGATGAATTTGAATGCTTTTCGAGGAATCTTCTGTTTTGTGAGCCGGCCCCGCTCTTCGGCCAGAGAGGTTTAACTTATTGAGAAAGACTTGCTGTTTTTTCTACCTTTTTCACAAGTAATGCATCAATGCTTAGATAATGTAATTAAAAAAAGAGACTTGATTCCCCCCCCTCTTCTGTTGGTGTCTGTGCACAGAGGTGAGAGGTGTTTTCTTACTCACACAGGTATGCAAACAGGGTGTTATGCAAAATCCCATCCCACGTTGCTTTATGTTTTGAACCTTTAAAAAAAAAAAAAAAAAAAAAAAAAAAAGATTATTTGAAAGTGGACAAACACAGCCATGTTTTGTAAGCAACCTTAAAAAAAAAAAAAATCAAGAATGTGTTCTGCTTTCATGTCCAGTCATTTTGTCGATGTGTTTATCTTTACTTTATGTTCAGTAGTAGCTTGTCTTGATATAAACATCAGTCATAGGTCGATACAAGGAAATATACAAATGTCGAAAAAACACATCTGCTGACGGTTATTTTTGTTGTATCATCTCCACCCATTGAGATATTGAGCTCGACTCTTCATTCCTGACCTGGAAACGGTCGTAAACTTTATTTAAAATGTACTTTTACATGTGAAAATCAAGATTAAAACAATGCAGCACTTTATATTAAATATAATAAGATGCCCAACCATAAGATAAGACCTAACGGATAAAACATATTACTACTTGAAAGTATTTTATCGGTTTTTAAGAAGTAATATAGAAGATATTTACCCGCTTAGATGTGCTTTTGAATGGATTAAAATCAACACTTTCCCCGAGACAGTGTGCTGGTTTTAGTCTCAAAATATCCTCAACGTCATATTCTAGATCAAGATAATAGTATTAACAAGCTGCCAGCAGGTAAACATATTTAAATTGGTTAAAATTAGCCCCACCTTTAACTGCTGCAACGTTAAAGTGATTTACACATTAATGCATCAATAATAGTAATAACACAATAGTATATATTATTTGGACATGGGTACTTTTATATTTTGATACCAATACTTGTTCTTTTACTCAAGTAACATTTCCAATGCAGGGCGTTTAATGTATTTTTTTACACTGTGGTATTTCTACTTGCTTAAATACTGGGGAGAACTTTCAGTTCAAAAGGATCAACAAAGTCTCCGCAAACACCCGTCTCCACTGCTGTAAGCTCATAAAGTCCAAATTTCATCAAATCAATCCTGCACACATGTCATTTGGTGGTTTCTCTGTTACTCTCTCTAATCGTCTACAACTGTCGCATTGTATGCAAAGAGTCTGCTTTTATCTGAATATGTTCTAATCCAGGCTTAGTTTAAGATTGTGCGCTGCAGAAAGTCAATATTTATCGTATCCACTGGTGCTTAATCGTGGATAAATGTTCTCTGCTGTTACTTTCTCTTTCAGTCCACTTATCCGTAGGGCGATGCCGATAGCTAACCTAATGATTGTGATGGAGCACCCCTCCTGTCTTTATGGGGCTCTGTAGAAAATGGCGCCTGTAAGGAATTCTTTAGTATCTACCTCCACCGTCCGATGTGAGTATACAGATAATGTCATTCGTCACGTCCTACCCCCCCTAAATCTGATGCTTTTGCTCGGACCACACCCATTTATGAACTTGGCCTTCATTTTGATCTCAACTACACACCTGGAAAGTATCATAACTGCACCTTGCGTGGTTGTGACACTCTTACAGTGACAGAATCTGTCCACAGGCAAAGAACTCAACCCTTGGTTCTGACATAGTTTCCACTACAGTAGGTGTGTACAGGACCACATTTAGCCAGGATGACTCACACACACACACACACACACAGACTCAGGAGGTGAAAACAACACCAGCGTCTCTGATGCGGGGGGTTGAAAGGAGTCTCACAGTCCGCCACTCAAGAAAGAATTAGCAGGAAGGTGTTGGGGAGGGTCCTTACCTCAGCATTTGTTTGTAACACACCACATGACTAAAGCACCTGTCTTGAGCACATGATGTCACTGACTTTAATGACACTGATACTGGCATATGGGTTCCAGGCTGCTGCACCACTCCTGGCTCTTTCTAAACGTACAAAGCCGGAGGAGACATTATTTTTGGCGCAGGTGTCGCCTCTTCTTGTGTGACTGGATACGTGTGAAGGTTCACGCCTCTTCTTTAAACTCTTAAAATATTCATCCCAGTGAGAATAAACAGGATCACTTTACAGGTCTGGAACTTTGGGGGAAACAGCAGGAAGCCTTTGAAAATGTAAGAACAATAATGAAAAATGATTCGATTTTCTGTGAATTTAACATACTTTAGCTGGAAATTCAAGTCAGTATCGGCGTCCTTGACAGTGAGGCACACTGTAAGTATACAGCTTTATTGGCGCACGCACCTGCAGCAAATTATGTTAATGAGGGCAGTTACCTGTTTTAAAGGGGATTTTCGAAACGGAACAGAAATAGTAGGGCATTCTTGTAGTGCATTTTTTAAATTTTGCATTAGGAGGGAAACATTGTCCATCAAGTTTATAACGGGAAATAGAAGAGGAAAACACAGTATCAACTAATAAAATGCGTAATTTTTTCATCTACAATTTGTTCATAATTACCATTAAAATAATTAAATAATTTTACAATATGAGTTATATATTTAACACAGACACCAAAAGCAGTTTAACTGCTTATTGTGTTTTCTACCTGGCTGGAGCTGAGATGATAACTTCTGGTTTGGCTGTTTTACTCATGGTTTACTGGCTTTTGCTACCTTATTTAGTGGGATACCAAATGTGTTCATTATCATTAATATATTTTAATTACAGGAAATATACAAACAACAATACAGACGATATATAATGTGCTAATAAGCTTTAGAGGGGCTGGTGGAGGCATTTAGTTAGGTTTTGGACCACATGGACCGACTGAGGGGACTTCCAGCACAGCCTACTACCCGCGTGGAGGTCGGTGGTGAAAGGGTTAACCAAAGATGCAAGACGTGCGTGAGTCTGTCTGAGCGTGAGCTGCTGCGGCTGCTGCTGCTGCGGCAGTGAAGTAAAATGTGTCAAATTCCACCGGACAGCAGAAACACCGTGGAGGAAGGAGACGAGCTGCAGACCGCCACCGTGACATCCAGGACAATTTCCCCGGGTGATGTGTTTCATCCGCCGGCCTGCATGCTGAGGGAGACACCGCTGAGCTCAATCTGAAGGTAAACAAATGAAACCTGCTCTGAGGATGATTCATGTCCATCTGCTGGAGCCGACATATAAGACAACATGTTAGCATGGCTTTTTATGATAACGTATCTATGAAGCTTTTGTGATTAAAATGTGTTTTCTTAATTTACCCAGCCTTAGATTGAAAACAGCGTCCGGTTATCATTAATGAGTGTTTGCTTGCAAGTTGGCAGCTTTACAAGCGTGCTGTATTCTTTCATTTTCAACTGTGTCCCAAATTCAATTAATTGTAATTACTGCAAAGTAAACAGCTGCACATAGTGTTAGAATAAAGGATGCATTCCTCTTCATTTGGCATGTTTTTAATGCACAGCTGGGCTGTTCCTCCTGTTATGGACAGGACAGGTGATATAAACTCAGAAAGAGGAGTGACTAGCAGTAACCTGTGTGTGTGTCATTGTGCCTCCTGTATTTCAAAATGCTTTGTGAGGGATAAACGTGTTTCCAAGTCCCCTGCGTCAAATTTCAGAGGCGAGGAGTCTACCAGGCCGGGGTCTACAGTGCGGGGGGGGGGGGGCTATCTCCCATTGAGTACAGGCAGGCTGTGTACAGTAATCAAGTGGCTTTCTACATCTAATGCCACTGTTCCATCATATACACTGATCTTAATTATTGCATTATTATGATTATTATTTAGTGAGTTTTAATGAATTATTGAGAAGGAGAATTAGGCTTCTTGGGTGTTTTAGACCGTACAGTCAGTATTTAAGTAATAATGATTTTGGGTGGCACCGTTTCCCAATTTATGGATTTCTCCATTGGATCTTGGATTGCTGCAGGAAATAAGCTCTGCTGCAAACAAACGTTATGATACTCGCACGTTTTGTTCAATAAGGTAAACATTACTTTTTTTGATTTTTGAAGCCTGAATGCGTTTGGCAGAAGTACAAAGCCAACGTTAGGCTACAGACGAGTGGAGTACACGCAACAAGGTTGTAAATGCGGACCAGTCGGCGAGATGATGTTTTGTAGTCTCAGTTTATGTTAACCACAGACCTTATTTCAGATATCTAACCAAAAACCATTAAAACAACCCATCGACTTCGATACGAGTGAACCGGAAGTGCCTTCCTGCTGCTGTGGGTAGCAGTATGATTTAAGAATGAACATATTAGCGTACGTCATGCAAGAGAGCCAAGTGAAGGAGATTATAGATCAGTGGTTGTGGTGATTATTACATTATCAGCCAGTCACATCACTGGTCTCAACATCTGTGCGACGAGAGCTCGGCACACTCAAAGCTTCTCGATGGTTCGGAGCGTCATGTCATGAACACACATCAGCACAACGCTACTTTTGCTAAAAAGGAAAGTTGTAATAGAGGTTATGATGAGCCCTGGTAACTGATGTCTCCTTCATAAAAAGCAGAGTATTTAGTTCCACCTGGCCAGTGTGTAGAGGTCTGTATGGTTATACTGGAGCAGCCGGGTGTCATGGCCTCGTGCCCGTGCTCAGAACCGGCCTTGATTTGTACCGCACTGCTCAGTGGGAAGGAGGCGTGACGCTGCAGCGGAGTCCCAGCAGCCTGCGCATTGGCCCGTAGTTTCCAGGGACAAAATATGATGACTTCGGCTATCTCGCGTAACTGCAGCCCATGCAGTTTTATCTACAGAGCATTCCCATCATGATAACATTTCTTTATCACATTTATGGATGCAAAAAAAAAAAGGTGCTGTGGGTTGGATTGATTTATTCCATATCAGGCCTGCAGTTCACTATCATTTTGGGTGAGATAATCCCTGCTGCTGCTGCTTGCTGCCTTTATTCCCTCTCAGTTTTTGCACCGACTGTATTATAGACATATTTATAACTCAAGCACCAGCCTTCACAGCGAGGAATCCCAAAACGACCCCATGACAGAAAGCGCTGGTGTAAAAAAACCATCAACATTCAACCCACCTCAGCTGTGTGGACACTTGGTCTAAGTTATTATAGTATTAATGCACTCATGCAGGTTTTTCAGGTCCTGCTTCTTATTATAACAGACCGTATAGGGTGTGATGGGAATGCACATTTGTACAGCAGGTTAAAGGCACATAAAAGGTCATTGTTGAGGCACAGGAAAGTTTCCAAACCAAAATGCTCCTGTGTGCGAGTGGGAATATGTGGAAATCACAAATCACTGTGCTGATCCGAACAGTTCAAAGATATGCAGCCACTGACTCAGTAGTTTACTCACTTTTTTGGCATGTAAATATGTGAATTAGCTAATAACTGGCATGAAATTGCAGTATAGAAATGACAACAATATGTCTAAGGCTTAGAAATGAACCTCACACCATACTTCTAGGGTTTGGACACATGCTGACTTTAGTCACAGCTCTTTAATGACCAAACAAATTCCTTTATTTATCAAAAATATATATATATATATATATATATGTCTTTGCTTTAGAAGAGGTCTCTGCACTTTTAAGCTTTGGGTGCACACACAACAGTAACAGCATGCTAAATATTTCACTTTGTTAAAAGCAGGAGACAAACCTCTTTTGTTTTTGAAATATTTGTGTTCCTAAAACCTTCGCAGAGCAGCCATCAATTATTCATCGGCAACGATTGATTATAAGCTTCTTTGTCTGATAACAGATTAACATGCGCATGCATCCTTCCATTAGAGGCGTAGATCTCTGCAACGCGATGACCAAAATCTCCTGTTTTCTCTGTAGCTGCTCCAAGAGTTCTGATCTATGGGGCATGGCCCACATGCTGTTCAGGACAGAGGGCTTAGCGCCCCTGTTTTAGGGTCTTTCATTAAACTGCAAGGAGATCAAGAGCTGTAATGAGTGTGGGGGGGGGAGTAAAGAGAGGATTCTCTCAGAGCAGATTTGAACTTTAAAGGTCAGTTTGTTTAAAGGTAATTTAGTGGGTATTTATTGGGTGATAAAGAGACGGACATACTGGAAGACTGACGGACAGTTAGAAAGAAGAAGACGTACGGCAGAAGACCTCCCCCCCCTCCCCCAGCAGCAGCTGAGATAACTATCGGAAGAAAAGATTACAAGTCAGTTGATTGCAACACAGTGTTTCCAAAGATAAAGCACCATGTGGACTTCTCAGTCGATGTGAAGGTGGAGATGACAGAGTTTAGCTTTAGTTCCAACATCAGCAGAAAGGACACTTGACACTGACAAGCTGCCAGTGTGCTTCATCAGAACTGCATGTCGGGTGGCTTTGTAAGCCCCCTCCCCTCACACATCATACTTGTTTTCTGGTATATATCTAGTATATTTTGTAGTATATGCTTACACAAGAAGTAATTGCTGCAAACACACTTTTTCATCTTCATCCCAACAGCCATAATATATCAGGACATTGGCTGATACTGTGAAACCAAACACAGATTATTGTTTGTCACGTACCACCAAACCTATACACGCTTTTATTTATGTTGATGTTGGTGTTTATTCCTTCGGCCAAAGATAAACAATTAAAACAGATTCAGCAGTCAAAAAAATCTTCGATCATGGTATAATTTATTGTACGTCTGTTACAACCGGCTCGGGTGTCGCAACATAGAGGAGGGACACAACACCAAGTTAGGTTAAAAACAACCACAGCTGCCAGTTTATTTACAGGACACAAGTAAACTGTAGCGTGCAAATCCCACTGCAGACCAGGGTCTGGTGCCAGGCAGATGAGAGAGAGAGAGAGAGAGGGCGGAGCAAGGAGGTGCTGATATAGGTAAACCACATCCTCATCCAGGTGCCTTCAATCACTCGTTAGGGAGCTGCACCTAGAAGTCAAGACACAGAATACACACACATGCACACACACACACCCAAGCACAAACATTCACAGCAGGACATAGAACCATACCAGCTGGTAATTAGCACTGGGCGGGACTGACATATTGTCAAATATTGTGACATTTTAATAACACAATATTAAAATGTCACAACAATAATGGTGTGTTTCAGCACACAACATTATTAATATTGTAAATTGATGATGTGCTATCGGTGCTTTTACACCTTTTTTGTTCTATTCTTTTGCGAAAGCGTTGCCTTTATTATTGATTTACAACCCAGCTCTTTTACTGTATACAGTGAGTACATCGTCTGGCAGGTACCTGGTTTGTTTGATAAAGTTAGCTACCCGATGCTAACCCGCTATATTGAATCAGCGACATGACAGCGCTTTTTAAAGCTCATCACGTCATATCATAACTTTTACATCTGCTATACAATGTTAAGGACAACGAGTTATAAGTCCCAGGTGACAGATCAACCTTTTGGATCTGAAGCCTTCAGAGCCTGCACACAGGGCCCCCCTCCCCCACCACGGATATAGAGGATGCTTAAGGTATGAAGCTATATGAGGCTCTGTTGGCTGTGCTGCGCCCAGGCTTTTAGTCGTAGCCCTCGTGGCGTCTCTCCAGCTCTCTTGTTTGTGATACTCAAAGTACTTTCTGTGTCTCTGGGGGAATATCTGGATTTAAAGTGCAGGGGAATGAAATAAGTACTTCTTCATAATTTCTTCATCATTTGTCTATCACACATATGTTTTTACAATCTCAACACCGAGGTTGTCATTATACGGCATCATTATGGCATCATACCACCCAACAAAATACAACAACAAAAATAAATCAAGGATATCTGGGCCATAAAGGGCATTACATCTTTATTGCTCTAGATAGAGCGGACGTGTGATGCTGTTTAGGATTAGAGCCAGCTTGCTGTTTCAGGGTTAATTGATCCGTCTTTGCTATTCATCGGGATCAGTTTATTTTGTGCCGCCTCAGAAAATACTTCTGCGCTCACTTGACGCGCACTTCTCGTCAATCACTCGATCGATTGCTCACCACGCGCACAAAGAAGCAGATTTGCTCAGGAGCAGGTCATCAGCTTTCAGGTTAGTTTAATACTACAGTGATTAATAATTTATTGTTCTTTTTCAATACATTTATCAAATTATAAAGATTGAGAAAAGCAGTAAATCCTCATATTTTGGAAGCTGGAACCTTAAAATACTAAGCATTTTTACTTGATAACAGTCTGTCGATCAACTGATTTATAGATGGTGTACTTGTTTCTGCGCCGTCCTGACAGCTCGTCAGTATCCCGGCTCAAACCCGCAGTATTTTCACAAAGACTAGCGACTACAAGTGCGGCTGCTGTTTCCATCATCATGTCACCTTGGTCACTGGCACTTAAACCGCATTGGATGCTGCTGGTTTCTATACGCCACGCCGCATCCAACCAAAGTGACCTTCCAAAAGTCTGCGTAGGCCTCGGATCTGTGCCAGCGCCAGAGAGCTGCAGTACATGAACGGGGATTATGGCGTAATGTGAGGTCAGCAATGGGTCAGGTTTCCGATTTAATCAAGAAGTCACAGTTCACAGCTGTCAGCATGCTGTCGGCACAGTAAAGGCCCCTCTATGTTGTTGTTGTTCTTTTAATTCAACCTTGGCTGAACAACCTGGTGATTTCTTTGCTCGTGTTTGTGTACCTGCTGTCAGAGGAGCGTCTAACTGACAGACCTGTCAGCCTTCTTTTGAACCTCAGCTCAACTGTTGTTGCACACTCCCTTTCTCTATGTCGCTCTCTCTCTTTATGTTTCGTTCAAAAACACACACACTCAGCTGCGTGTCTTCCCTCTGTGTCCTCGGACAAACCCTTGGCGCTCCGCGGTTCGACTTCCCTCCCTTTTCAGTTCAGACAGCATCCTGCTCCGTCTCCCCGCGGTTTACAAAGCAGGCGGCTCTGTCACGGTTGCCGTTCTGATGACCGTCACACACTGTGATGTCCCGTAGAGGGATTTTCAATAGAGTGCGTTCCTGGCAGGAACCTTGCCGATCAATACACTGGGCAGATGAGCTGGTGGGGTGGCGGGTTAGTGGGCGGTATCCCACAACAGCAACAACAACAACAGAATCAAATAGCACCCAGTGTGTGAACGGGGTCATGCTGAGGCAACAAGTCAATCGATATGCCTGATTACACACACAGAAAGCACAGGTGGGGGGTGGGTGGGGGTCTTACGGTTCCATCACTGTATGATGGTGTGTCAGTAAATGGTTTGAGATTATTAAAACCCTCATTTCATTCTTCGTTCCTGTGCTTTAGGATCACATTTCAAACCTCATTCATGTCTCCAGCGAGCGACACGTCGCACTGGTTTCAGGTGTCGCTTCACTAAAGTATAAATGTGTTGAAAGAGTGACCATTCATTCACTCTTTTCATCTGTGTTCACCAGAACCTGTTTGCTCTGTTACAACATGCTCGCTTCATGTTTCAAGACCTAAAACAAATCTGCCTTTGCACACTACACAATGCGAGGGATTTTTAATGTAATCTGACCGGTTGTGTTGACAAAGGCTGAGGCCTTAAGAAGTCATCACGATATTCCGTTAGAATGGATCTGACATACAGACAAGAAGCAGATGACACAAGTTACTGAGTTATGGAAATTGAACATTTTTAAAGAACAATTTCACCAACAAGTCGTTTTTACACACCTAAAAAGGGAGTTGTGTCGGAGAAAAACCTAGACTTTGTCAATACTTGCAGTGAGAAATTATTTCTTGCTATATGAAGCTACTAACATTTCCAGTTGACCTAGCTTTACCTGTTATTCACGGCTGAATATTGCATTCCTTATTTTTCATAATTTCCATCTTAGTGAGCATGTGAGTGCAGAACAAAGACCTGTGATCCTCAGGTGAGATATGGGACAAACGAACAAAACACCAAACAAATGTCACATATAGCATGTTAATTAGTGAGCTTTAGAGCTACTGCTCGGTAGATTTGGTCCCCTTCTGACAGAGCTAGGCTAGCTGTTTCCAGTCTTTGTGCTAAGCTAATCTAACGGCCATCAATCTCCTCTTCTAATTCAGGACGAAAGCGCATTTCTCAAACCGGTAAAACATTCCTTTTAAAAGGGAAACGTAAGTTTAGCATCTTTTACTATAACAGGCAACTAATCTTAGGCGTTCTACTGTAGCAAACCGTTTTTATTGTATCCACTTCTCTTCGCAGGATAAAGCATTGTGCTCAAAATATTTTTTGCAAATAACAGTTTGACCCACGCTTGCTTGGGTAGATGAGAGGAGTGGGAGAGTTTCTCAGGCAGGCAGTGAAAAGATGGTATGAGGGGTTTAAGGAGGTCAGTTGGCCCGTCGCTGTGGCCCAGTCCCCTCACATCAAACCCTTGTTCCTTGTTGTGGGAGAAATGTGCTAATCCCCCATGGAACCACTCTGGGCCTCAGCCAGCCTTTCAAGACAAAAAGAGCCAAAAAAAAAAAAAAATCGGGTTTTGTTCTTCAAATGGGCTTTTGTACTCCTAACCTCTCTCTGAGCTTGTATTTTACAGAGCGGTTATGATCCATTGTATAATGGTTGCTGTTATGACACGGTTTCCTCTGGAGGCTTTGTATTGTAGAAGATATACACTCAGCGGCCTTCTCAACCAATGTGGTCTTTGAACTCCTCGGTAGGATTTGCCTTCAGTGTTTTTTATTAGACCTGGCGATGTGATAAATAGAGGAGAGAAGGAATCCAACCCTGCGTGGGCCTCCTGACACCTGACACCAAAGCCTGTGTGCGGCTTTGGAAAAAGAGCACATGATGTAGGCAGTCAGACGATAAAGCTATACGTTACATAAGAGACTCAGTCAGTCAGTAAATAGCATCAAGTGAGGGAAGGCGTAGGAAAGTGCTCTGAACCTCCGCCGTCTCTAATTACATCTTCCTTATGCCAATCAAGTGTTTTATTGCCTTGTCCTTAATTGAACTTTGACTATGGTCAAAGCTGATTGCAATATTTAAACCCAAGCTGCTGTCAATCATGGTTCACACTAACAAACACATTGCCTTTCCTGTGGCTTCTTCACAACAAACGTCACCGTTATGTTTCGCCAGTTAGATGCTTTTAATGTGAAGCAGCAGCAGTAGGACGTTCATTTTAAATTCACACTAAGCTAATAAAGCGAGATGGCGAGGATGATATCAATGAGAAAGTTACACCGAAATGACATGCTGCATCTTTTCCTGTGAATCCCTCACGCGGAAATGGCGGACTCCGCCACTTAAAACGAAAACAAAAACTTGAACAGAGAAGATATTACGAAGAGTAAACACCTTAAATGTCTATTGCAGAAAAAATACTGAGCATGAAATTAGAAAATGCGGTTTGATTTCATGAACTTGAAAGGAAGTTGGATGGAGTTGACATATCGTACCGTGTTGCCTTTGTGTCACGGTCTTACACCTTCCTTTTGCTCCTTTCTCCTCAGACCTGCATCGCATTATCGGAGACTGAAACGTGAAAGTAAGAGGAAGGATGGTGACCATGCAAACCCCAGAAGCTTCTGTACCTCTGACAGTGCTGTCCCGCTGGTACCTCTACGCCATCCACGGCTACTTCTGTGAGGTCATGTTCACAGCCGCCTGGGAGTTCGTGGTTAACTGCAACTGGAAATTCCCCGGCGTGACCAGCGTGTGGGCGCTCTTCATCTACGGCACCTGCATCCTCATCGTGGAGCAGATGTACCTGAAGCTGCGCGGCCGCTGCCGCGTGCTGCTGCGTTGCATCATATACACGTTATGGACGTACCTGTGGGAGTTTGGCACGGGGCTGCTGCTGCGCCAGTTCAACGCCTGCCCCTGGGACTACTCCGAGTTCCGCTACAACTTCATGGGACTGATCACGGCCGAGTACGCCGTGCTCTGGTTCTGCGCCTCCTTCATCGTGGAGCGCTTGGTCATCCGCAAAACGCTACGGCTTCGATTGCAGAAGGGGCCCGAGGACGGTTGGTCAAACCGTCAGTTGAATGCTGGAGGAACTGTGGGAGGAGGGAGGACGAGAAATGATGCCAACGGCTGCCTTAAAGGAGAATGAATGAAGGAAGAACACAATCTGAAACCAGCCCAAGCACCCTGCTACACCACCTATACCCTCCTCAGCCACATTTGATAAACAGTTCTCCCCCACTAACCGTATGGGGGGAAGACAAACAGACAACTATGTCCACTGGGCTGGTGTGCAGAGGTGTACTGAATATCAGAACAGCCAGAAAACCAAACTTAACTGAGGCTTCAAACACCCAAATCACTCACTGTGCTTCCGGCCGTCGACAGAGGCACAATATGGATCTCATAACGCACCCACTCATTTCCATGTGGGGTTGACCGTAAGGAGACCCAGACTCAATATCTCCTTTCCCCAGGACTGCAAAGACCTCCGAAAACTAAAAAAAAAAAAAAATACTGTTGCAAAAATAAGTGCTATCACCCTCTGAAGGAACAAGTTCAAGAACAATACGTTTGTTTTTCAAGGGCACATCTGAAAGCAGAATGCTTGCTGCATAGAAATCCGAAGAAAAAAGTAGCTCTAACACGTTCTTTTTTTAAAATGAACATATTGTCCTTATTCAAAGTACTGTAGTAATGTAGCCACAAAAAGCTCTTTAAGAACATACCACGCACCCTGAGGCTTTGCGGGTCACCTTTCATTATGAAGAATGTTTTCAGTGAATACCCACAATGCCTGGTAAAACAAATGCATGAAAAAAAAGTTGTCTTCCAATATAATATAGCCTGTAGCTCAGGCAGCAGAGCCGGTCCGCCATGTTATCATGGTCGATTCCCGGTCGTCTCCTCCTGACGGCATGTTGAGGTGTCCTTGAGAAAGACACCGAACTCCAAACTGCATGGCAGCTTCTCCACCATCCGTGTGTGTGTGTGTGTGTGTGTGTGTGTGTGTGTGTGTGTGTGTGTGTGGTCTAATGTGAGGGATTTTTAAGGCGCTGAATAGATGCGGTCCATTTGCCATAATAGCAGGGGCGCTTCTCTGTTGGCAAAGGCAATGATCATGAGTCGTGAGCATCAGCATGAAGCACCAAAAATCTCAGATTTAAAAAATAATAATTTAGAAAAACTTTTCAAGTCTAAGTAGCAATACTGAATTTTGAGTGACACAGAATGAGAAAGTGTTTAGGTGTCATGTCAGGTTTCTTGATTTGAAGTTTCTTGCAAACGTCACATTGTGGAAACAATTGTTGTTGGCCGTCAGGTTTTCAGCAGAATTTCCACGACCCTTCTCTTTATTAGCATCCCAGTTAGTTTAACAAGTGAGTGAAGGAAATATGCAGCATATTGTGATGAATTAATTAAAGGAAACCCGAACATTTCTCCCGACACAAGTATCAGATTTTGCTGCTCATTTGTGAGTCACAACATTTTTCGTTTCCTTGGTGAATAATGACCTCTGTGATATTTGACTGACATCTGACACAATCCACAAGTGTAACTGTAACAGTTCAGGTAGTGTTCGATAAACTGTGACTGCATTTTTGACTTGTCTTAACTTCTGGTACTCCAAGCAGGTGGAAACGTGTAATGCAAATAATGCTCATTTCCTTAATGTTGATCCTGAGACTTCCTTTGCTGCGTGAGGAGAAAGATCATGGACTGTACGCTCGCCCTCATGCATAAATCACTGGTGCTACTGGATCAAGCTTAAAACAGGTCGGAGACATCCTTCTTTGCAGTGATTCCAAGGTACCAGAGGATCGATTTAATACATGGACTGATTCCTCAGGGCGACCGTTTATGTTGTTTGACTCAATCACAACATTTTGTGCTGACAATTGTTCAGCTTTTCCCCATTTTTGTGTGAAATTATGCAACAAAACCCCCCAAAAAACAGAAACATCCAAATCCATGTTTCCACAACACTACTGCACGATGTAAAGGTGTGACCTTCATGATTGTTGCTGCGATGGCCGTGCAGTGTTTCCACCTCACTGCCTCCCCTGCAGGTCCAGAGGGTGGACGGCAGGAAGCTGTTCCACGTGACAGATGAATTGCCGCCGCCCAGTGGACACATTGGAAACTGCAGCTGGAAAACAAAAGTTTTATTGAACTTGGACAAACAAACAAATATGACGCACAAAAGGGCAAGAATCCTTTTCAGGATCAAAATCAGAAGGACATGTTTGTGTTTTTTTATTATTACTGTGTTTTTATTTCACACGTGAATCAACAGGCTTAAAAGCAATAGAGGCTTCTGACCCAGCAATGATTATCAAGCTCAAGGCAGTTAACTTTTCTCTTTAAAAAGCTAATAAACTATGTTATGAGAACTGGTGTGCAGCCCATGTCTTTAATTCATCCTACTACTCTGATGAGACGAAGAGCAACGGACATGCAAAATAAGTTTGGTAAGTGTTCGGGGGCAATGAGGAGTTTTAGGTGAATGTGTATGTTTTACAGAGACACATTTCAGCCCATTTATTAGTGTCCTATGAAAGATACAGACCCACTTGCATCACTAAGCAGGGACGCTGATCACTGGTCAGTTTGTATAATGACAAAATAATACCTAAATGCGTGATCGTTAATGTTTAATAGTTATTAACATTTTGCACAGCTTTGAGAACGTTTTACACGACACCTTTAAAACGTTTACCATTACAACTTTTTGCCACTGTTTGTCACTGATGATGTCGAGGGTCAAGATGTATATATGTATATGTATAAATGTGTGTATATATACTGTATATGTTACCTCAGACAAATGAACATCACTGAATTGATGGCTTTATATTTACACCTATTTTGTCTGTCTTATTTTATGATTAAATTACTTACCTTCAATAGCAGCAAACATTTGACTTACAGGGGTAACCAGCAGTTTTTCTAGAAGATACTTCATTCTAAAAATAAGTATATTTTTGAAGTTTTAATGAGTTTCCCCAAGTGCTCCTTTATTTCCTCATCAAAACAAAGATGGCGGCCCGTCGGCTACCTACCTTGCTTGGAAACAAGAGTTGCAATTTGGAAACTGGCAACAAAAACACGCAAATATTTTCATCCAAATGGTTCGAAAAGTCTTCAATGAGTCTGAAACTAAAGTCAGAGCAGAGGTAAATGTTTTAAACAACCTATCTTTCAGAGGAACAGATGGGGACCTCAGGTGTTAGACATCACTAGTTGATGAACATTACAAATGCACACTGACAACTAATTAGACTGCTGGTGTGCCCTCGCACTTGTTATTCTGAGCAGAAATATTGAGATTTAGTCACAGTGCTGCTTTGAAACGAATGCTCATTCTTAGCCTGCTTACCTGCGCTAAAGCACCAAACCCAAAGTACAGCTGTGGCTGATATGAATGTCATTAGTTTTATTGGTAACTCATTTGATCAATAACCAAAGTATTGGACACATTTTGAACTGCTGATAGCGCAAGATGTACATGCATATTAACATCTCGTAATACTCGCATTCCCTCAAATCCATCCTTTAGACATGATGAAATGCTGCTCCTGCAGAGAAACACACAGGCTGTACTATCTACAGCTGCAGGACTTTCATTTGGCCACATGATGGCTCTTCTTCACCAGAAAAGACAAAGCAGCTGTGTTTATACAGCACGAGGACACGGGTTGATCCTGAGTCATCAGTCACTGTTTACAGATGTATCTGTTAAGTAAGCTGTTTTTATGACGAGGCTTTCTAAGATGGGACACAGATTGGTTTAAAGTATAACTTAATACGCCGGCCAGTTGTACGGTTTCATGTGAACCAACATGCCCTCTCATTTTAGTCAATATTTAAAGTTTTGTCATGCAATTATTACAGCATTATGACAGCCTAAGCATAATAAAAAAAGCAACTCATTTATTTTGAATAATGCTTTGATGACAGATTTACATTTGTTTTCAGCAGAAGCCTCAAGCAGAACTTTCCACCACCTCCCTGTCTTGCTGCCGCACCTTTCGTCAGGTAGGGAGAATCTCAGTCGTTTACGTGTCTCTGCAAATCCTTTAATTGGCTGTGAGTTCCCTGCAGCCCCGGGGCCCCCTCCACAGAAGCGTTGCCTATACCTACCTGTGTGAGGGTGTGTCCACTCAGCGCGCTCAGCTGCGCTAATGGCATGGACCTGCTGTGGCCCTGCCTCATTTGGCACGGTGTCTCCGTCGCGCCTCCTCCAATCAAGTCACTCGCACTCCCAAGTATGGAGACTCGCAACCTGTAATCTGGGCTGTGGAGATGACAAGTGTCCTCCCCGAGGCCGATTTAAGGGCCTGTTCTGCGAGTGCGTTGTGTTGTCGTGTGTGTTAAGCTATCTTCTGGGTGTGTGTGGGAAATGTGTGTTAAGCTTAAGTTTCACAAGGCTTTTCTTGTTTGACCTCATTGTTCTCAGTGTCAGGTTTACAGTTTCCTGAACAGGAAGTACTAATGTATAGACGTCCATGGATTAAACGATAGAAAAAACAATGGCAGCAAAGGTTGCATTTTGACCTACTGCAGGAAGGAGGAGTTGTACACCACCCGATCGACGCCTGTACATGCGTGGCACTGGCATACAGAATGAAAGACGTACTAGTTTGTCCTTAAACTCTAGTACAATTTGATATATTTGTACTGTGACACTGAAGTCTGAGTGTGCAGGTGTGAGGGATCGATGTATGTGTTTTTTAAGTCTGTCGGACAGATGAATATCAGGTTGGCATTGGAGAGTGGCGGTGCGAGTGACAGCGTCATGGTGGGGGGGTGTGTGGGGGGCGGGTGGGGGGGCTGACAAAATGAGTTGTTCCATCAAATCAAGGCAAGACCTTAACATTTGCATTTCCACTGAATCGGAGCCAGCGAGCAGAGAGCCCTCCATTGAGGGGAAACTTGCTTGACGTGTGAATGAGCGAATGCGTCAGGCCCTTTGCCGAAACACATTCATGCGTTCACAGCTTTGGACAGAGTCTGGGTCTTTTGCTCGGATCCCGCTGGAAAACACCGGCCTTTTTTTTTTTCCGTCACTTTTTCCCCCCATGTAGGCTGCTTTGGCAGTCAGGGTTTGAACCAGCAGCGGAGGGAGAGTGGCTCGCTGATCACGCGCTATTCTTCCTCCTCCTGACCGTACTGTACTGGTGAGGCAAATCTTCTGAAACCTCTTTGAACCAAGGATGACGATCAACGTTAAACCCACCTAAATCCACTTTTGGCAAACTATTTTTCCAGAATGGAGTTAGCTCATCTTATTTGATGTATATTCATACCAGGCCTACCCATCAAAGTAGACAACGCTAGAATGATATAATATAAACAATTTGTTTCTACATGGGTTGAATTTAAATCCCCTTCCACTCAAAAGAAGCATTTTTGTTTTGGTTACATGACTGTGATGTTTGACTGTGCAGAATATTGTATATGTGCAGAGTTTGACACGAAGGTTTTCAGATTTATCTGCAGAAGAGGGAAAGTTTCTCTGTGTTCTCCTTAAATCTGAGTTTTAGACATCTACAGTATGTACCAGACGTTACATCAAATCCAACCGGTCCAGTGTGATCAAGACACTTGAGACACCTTGTATACAGCTGAACTTTATTTTAAATTAGGGTGGAAGTGTAGATGTAATTTTATGTTTTTTTTTAGCTAATTATAACCAGTTAATTGAACTCTGTGGAACCCCAAAAAACCAAGT